CTCCAAAACCTATTTATAACCCAACCATGTTTCACTACCACCAGCTACCCTCTAGACCACGCCATCATAATCCCTGGCCTGGATCACAGCTCTAGCTTCTTCCTGCCTGACTTGCTTCCTCCCTTGTCCCTGCTACAGTCTATTCCCTACATAACAGTAAGAGAATTCAGACTATGGCATTCCTCTGCTCGAAACTCCCCAGAGTGTCTCTCCTTACACAGAGTAAAAGCCCAAGTCCTTACAATGGCACAAATACCCCTGAGATGTGATCCCACCTAGCTTGCTGCCCTGTCTCTGCCCACAGTTCCCATTGCTCATTCCTCTGTAACCACGCTGACCTCCCTGCTTCATCATCCTTGGTACCAATGTCACCTTATTATTTCTTAATTTCATTTCTCCCCACCACCACCTCCATGATGTAAGTCCCATGAGAGCAGGGATTTAGTCTGTTTTGTTCATCCTGTTTCACAGAACAGGGCATATTTCGATTTGATGACTAGAAGGAAAGATACACAATGAATGCCTCATTATAAGAAATAGATAGGCCAGGCATGGTGGTTTACGCCTGTAATGCCAGCACTTTAGGAGGCCACGGCAGGCCATCGCTTGAGTCCAGGAGTTCAAGATCAGTCTGGGTAATATAGCAAGACCTCATCTCTACAAAAAAAATTGAAAAAATAAGCCAGGTATGGTGGCACATGCCTACAGTCCCAGCTACTCAGGAGGCTGAGGTGAGAGGATAGCTTGAATCCAGGAGACAGAGGTTGCAGTGAGCCATGATGCCACTACACTCCATCCTGAGCAACAGAGCAAGATCCTGTCTCAAAAAAAGAAAAAGAAAAAGACATAGATGTGTTCTATGACATTTGAGGTTTTAAGGACTAAACAAGGATGTCCAGTCTTTAGGCTTCCCGGGGCTACAATGGAAGAAGAATTGTCTTGGGCCACACATAAAATACACTAACATTAAGGATACCTAATGAGCTAAAAAAGAAAATCATTTTTAAAAACCTCATAATGTTTTAAGAAAGTTTACGAATTTGTGTTGGGCCACATTCGAAGCCTTCCTGGGCCACAGGCAGCCCACAGGTCATGGGTTGGACAAGCTTGGTCTAAACTAAATGCTGCACATTAAGGTTTATGAGTTTATTCTAAGTAAGTTTCTTTGAAAAGACTTAATCAGTTCACGTGTTTCACTAAAGAGAAAACTGAGGCCTAAAGACAAGCCCAAAGTCACATGGTATGTGCTAGAACCACAATTCAAACAAGTTCTTCTGCACCAAGTTCATACGTACTTGCCCCTGAAGTTGGTGCTGTCTATTAAGTCTGAAGCCTGCTAGTCTCAACTCTATAAATTATAGAAAATGTATAGAAATTCAGTACTGGTTCCAAGTGGAACCAGGACTGGCTGACTAAGGATTTTAAAGAAAAGTATTTTATTTGATGTACCCTTTATTTAAAATCTTTGACTTTAGATTGCAGAAGGTATACTATTATAAATGATAAAACACTTACCAGTTGTTGAGAGTTCATGTCCCTATCACAGTGTTAAGTACTTTACAAGGATCAGTGCAATGATTGTTTACCACAACCTTTTTGCAGTGGAAGAAACCAAGGCTGGAGGACGTGAGATAACTTGCAGAAAGTAGCACTGCTAGCAAGAGATGGGGCCATTATCTATACTTGAGGGCTCTACCTCCAGAGCCAATGCCCTACTGAATCAAGAAAGCTGCACAGTTATCATTTTATGATAAATGGTTTTTGGGGATTTACTTGCTCTGTAAGCTTATTTTATTTTGTCCACTTTTCTTAAAATGAGACATACTATAAATAACATTTTGAAAGTGTATTTTATATATCTTAGTGAAGATTATGCTCATTTGCAAAATACATCATATGTGTACATTTCTCCTCTGAATGAACAAAGCAAAAATTTAAAAATATCCCTGGAGAAATGCTGAGTTTGGTTATCAGCACACCTTAAGGCATCAAATATTTTCAAAAAAATATATAAAGACATGAAGGTTTGTGCTCCCTTTCTCAAGCATTCACTTACGTCAACAGTGGTGATGATCTGAAGTGAGCAAAGTAGTTAACTATAGTATGCCTCAGAAGTTTCTTGTGAAAGAGCCAAATAATGATAATGAATGTGTCAGTAAGTGTGTTAGTCTAAAGTTGTCATGGGTCACAAGGCATATTTTTCAGAATTTAACATTCCAGAAACCACTGAAAATGGTGAGAAAGTTCAGAGAAAATGAGACAAGCTCACAGTCTAGTGACTATGTTTCACATAGAACACTGAATAAGGTAATTACATTTTTTTCAATTGCAACTGCAAATTATATGATTCAAGGATCACGTCATTACTTAAAATTCCTAAGGGGGAAAGATTATGTATTGGCACTACATTGTTTAGGAAAAGAAACTTTTTTTAAAAAATCTAAGCCCTACTGAAAACATTATCTAAATACACTATGGTTCAAATGTGATTCTATGGAAATGGTGAGTTAGAGAGGGAAAGTGAGTTGGGCGGGGAAAACCTGGGAATATTCTAAGACAAAAAGGTCAGAAAATATTCCAGACCTTGGTAATTTGGCTATAGGTCTAGAGTGAAAGCCAAGAACAGAAAATGAGACAAAAGAAAATGAAACCCATCCATTATTTCCCTTAACAGCTATCCACTGTGCCACCTCCTGGCTAGGAAAAAGGGCTAGTCATGTGAAATACTAGGTTTTCACATCTTTCCATCCTTTTAAGAGAAAACTCAGAAGAGATAAGACTATCTTAGCATTTCTTTGTGAGTTTAACCATTCAGCTAAGGGAAATGCAGAAGACCAGGGCAAAGGTGAACGACCTCAGGGCCTCATTTATCTGGGTTCATGAGGGAGTCAAGCACCAGCCTGTCTGCCTGCTTGTGCCTGCAGTTCTTCAGGGACAGGGAAATTATACCTCAGTTTTAAGACTAGGGTTGAAAATACATCGGACTGGAAAAAGGCTTGTCATTTTCCGGGTGCTTATGTGTAACTCAGAATCAGAGTATATTTTGATTTGAACTGGAAACCAAAATCTAGGAGATGTTTGGTTTAGTTTGGTTGGATACCATGGACTATGAAAAGAGCTCTGCACCCGGAGTGTAGAGACCTGAATTCCAGTCCTATGTGTGCTGTTACTAGCTAGACGGATGGGAACAGCTCATTCAGCTTCTGGGATTACAATAAAAGAGTTGGATTAGATGCTTATCTCTAAGATTCCTTGCAGCTCCATGAATCTTCTATGAATCTTTATTCAACAACAGCTGTCTAAAAGAAATATCAGCTGAACCATAGATGTTAACCTCAAATGTTATTTTGTCTTCCAGAAGCCACATTAAAATTTTTTTAAAGGATTAAATTAGTTTTAATATATGTTATTTAGCCCAATAATAGGGCCAAATTTGTATTAGTTCAATATGTAATTGCTATTAAATAATATTTTGTATTAAATATTAATTAAATATTTTACATTATTTTCTTTGTACTAAAACTTCAAAATTGGAGTGTATTTTTAACTTGCATCCTATCTTAATTTGGACTCGCCACATTTCAAGTGCTCATTAGTTATATGTCCCTATTGACTGTTGAATTGGACAAATAGATATAGAAGGCTTCAACTTTTTTTTTTTTCTGAGATGGAATCTTGTTCTGTCACCAGGCTGAAGTGCAGTGGCACGATCTTGGCTCACTGCAACCTCCGCCTCCCAGGTTCAAGCAATTTCCCTGCCTCAGCCTCCCGAGTAGCTGGACTACAGGCACACACCACTACGCCCAGCTAATTTTTTGTATTATAGTAGAGATGGGGTTTCACCATGTTGGCCAAGATGGACTCAATCTCCTGATTTTGTGATCCACCCGCCTCAGCCTCCCAAAGTGCTGGGATTACAGGTGTAAGCCACCACACCTGGCCTCGACTTTTCTTGCATAAATAAAAATGAAGCATATAGCCTACCTTCAAAATCAGAATGCACTTAAGGTAGAAAATCTATTCATTGAAATGTTAAGCTCAACACGTTGAGGGTGATATAAGGGAAAAGGTGACAATAAAAACAAGGGATAAGACTTTTCACAGGAATTGCCAATGGGAAAGATACAAGGGAAGGGTGTGTCATATGGAGATGAGAAGGTTGGACAGAAATAATGTGGGCCATCTCCAGGCCTGGTGCACAAAATCTACCCACATAATCCTCCATTCTCTATCTGCCCTTATACTGTAAGCACAGTATCCACTTAAAGTCTTTGTGGCCCTAAGAATCACGAAGCCACTAGCCACTAGGTCAGGGATTCTTTCCTTTCTTTCTTTCTATTTTTTTTTTTTTTAAAGGGACAGGTTCTCACTCTTGCCCAGCCCAGAATGCAGTAGTGCAATTACAGATCACTGCACCCTCACTTGATCCTGGGTTCCAACAATCTTCCTACCTTAGTCTCTTAAGTAGCTAGGTCTATAAGCACGTGCCACTATACCTGGCTCATTTTTGGTTTTGTAGAGACAAGGTCTCACTATGTTGCCTGGACTGGCCTCAAACTCCTGGCCTCAAGTGATCCTCTAGACTTGGGCCTTCTACGGTGTTGGGATATGCCCAGCCAGGTCAAGGATTATTAATCTGGGGCCTGTAGACCCTGATGGGCTCTGTGGATAGAATTCAGGCCATCCAAACATTGAATGGAGGAAGAGAACACCATGTTTTATTAATCTTCAATTCAAATTCAGTATTTCCTCCAATTCTGAACAAACTACAGTGGAATTTAGCAGTATTTGTGACTTTGTCACCAACAGAGCTCACAGATGTTTTCATAGCACATTTAAGTTGCTGGATACCTTAGAACAGCACTTCTTCAAACCTACAGTTATTAAACTCTCCATGAGACCTTGTTATTGATTTTATCATATCACAGATTTTAAAAATATTTTGATAACTACAGTTCAATAAAATACATTTCTTTTATAATCCTCTGTATTTTTATTTTCATTTAAAAATGTAACTCTAAAAAGAGGTCCATAGGCTTCAACAAACCACCAAAAAGGTACATGGTACCATGCACTAGATGGAAAGAGTCTGTGTCCACACACAAGTCCACTCCCCTTCATTAACCCCCTCCCACCAAATCTTCTTGGATAGCGTGATGAGTGAAATATAAATCATTACGTGCCACTGAGCTTTGAAGGATGGCTCCTTCAGCAGTAAGTCCATTCTAATTAATGTCCAACTGAAACATGGCTTCAGGCCATGGCCCACTGGTTAACATTGCCACCAGCTTCCATGCACTGAAGAGAAACACACCAGCAGTGATGTGCTGGTAAACTGGATCTCAAAAAACAACAACAACACAAAAAGACTCCCACTATGGCTGATGTCAAGCTACCAATGTGATGTCACTGAGCTCTGAGTTAGGAAAAGATGCCTGGATTCAGCTCTTGCCAGCCAGTGTGAGCTGGCTCCTAGCATACCACTGGGGCTGCTCTTCCTTACAACCTTCCTGAAAAAGGTGTCTTCCTATTGCCCTTCCCTGGTGTGAGGGGAGGAGTATGTGTAGGACCTTAAGAATAGTTGTTTAAAGGTGCCTATTTAAACCCTTGCATCTGACTCTTTCATAATGAATAAATTACCTTACAGGCAGTAATTTGTAAATTCAACAAGCTGTTGAAAAGAATCTAATTAGTACTAATTACAATACTAGAGTGTCCCAACACATTATAATGCCATTGCTTCTGTAGAGGCATTGTGTTTAAACACTGAAACATTAATTAGTCTGCAGAACAAATGTGTAAGATAGGTATTATTCAGCAGTATGTGAAAGCCAATTATTTACTCTGCAAAGGCCTGATGCCATTACTGATAGTAAAAACAGATTAACATAATGGTAGGACTGGGAAATGTGAGAATAACATCACATTTATTACATTATATTATTCATTTCTGACCCTTCTTTTCTGACTGGGCATTACTACTGTCGTCATTTTCGTAGGAGAAACTGAAGGCAGCCAGTCGACAGGTCCAAAATCTGCAGAGAATCCAACTTCGGATTCAGCGAGTCCTCAGGAAACTGTTGTGCCTGATTTACAGAAGTGAAGGTTCCATTTATTTTTATTTTTTTATTGTATGCCTTAACTTCCCAGTATAAATATTTTCTTTGATAATGAAGAAATTGCATGAAGGTATCATTTTATTTAAAGTTAGTTTAAAGTGGCTGCAATGGCTGCTTTGGCCTATTTGTAAATTCCATATTATGTTTTGCTAACATGTAGCTGAATTTTAATTTCTAGATTAAGCTATTTATAATCTACCATCTCACTCACTGAAAATATCCACTTCAAAAAGTAGACAAAGGCCTGGCACAGTGGCTTATGCCAATAATCCCAGCACTTTGGGAGGCCAGCGCAGGTGGATCACTTGAGGAGTTAAAGACCAACCTGGCCAACATGATGAAACTCTGTCTTTACTAAAAAATACAAAACAAGAAAAAATAGCCAACTGTGGTGGTAGGAACCTGCAGTCCCAGCTACTCAGGAGGCTGAGGCATAAGAATCGCCTGAAGCCCGGAGGCAAAGGTTGCAGTGGGCCAAGATCGCACCACAGCACGCCAGCCTGTGTGGCAAAGTGAGAGTCTATCTAAAAGAGAAAAAAAAAATAACCAAATAATTTAGAATTAAGATATGGAAATGGAAATGGAACCAAAAGTTTAAAAGTTTAGTAAATGTTTCCATTTTTACCAAGGGTTTAGCTCATTTAAGGTAGCTAAAGCAGCTAAGTGAGTGTTCAAATCCTATCAAGCTGATACTACTTTTTCATTAAAGAAAAAGCTATGCATACTTGGAATTCTGGAAGAAACACTTAGAATTTCTGAAAGAGCATTTGATATCCTGTTACCTTTTATCTGAAACATTTATTTGCCTGGCACATAGTAGGCACTCAATAAATGTTAGCTTTTACTACGGTGATTATCATTTCTCAGACCAAGAGTTAGCATTTTAGTTAGGAACTAACATCTCAGTTAACATACTCACGTCTTAGTCATACTGTAAAATTCTTACTTGCTTTAAATGTAAACAGTACATTTCAATTACTGTTACTAATTTAATTCTGTTCTCTAACAAAACCATTTTAAATATTTATATTCCAGATCTTACACATTTGCCATTGTTGTTCATAAAATTTGGCTTTATTTTAACTCTAAGCCTGCATCTGCTTTGCTTAGACAATTTCTCCTGTGTCACTCATTCAGCATGAATTACACAGGAAATAATCCTTTAAACAAACACATTCAATCCAAATTTGGAAAATCTCTGAATTCTTTTTAGCTAATCATGGAAATTGTCACTTGTTCTGTGTGTGAACCAGAATTAAGGACACAAGACCACTAATAATGATGTACTTTTTAAAGAAACATCCACAATTTTCCTTCATTTCTGAATTGATCCTGCTCAGCTGCCCCGGCCCCAGACCAGCCCCCATCTCAGCAGCTTCCTGTGTACATTCAGCTCTCTGCAGGCTGCTTTGTTCCTCTCCCAGGTCCATGGAGAATGCTGGTAACAGGTCAGTACAGCTACATTCTGCCTAGATGTTGCAGCAGGCTACAGAAACACAGTAGTCATATTGCTCTTTCCTGAAGACTGGAGACTAAAAAGATTTTTTTATATCTTCCATTTTTCTCACCATGCTCATGTTTACCTCTGTGTTAACACATGGAGCATATAATGACTGCTTTACCATCCCTGTCTGCTAATTTCACCATGTCTGTAATTCCTGAGTCTATCTCTATTATTTTCTTTATAGTTGTGGATATTTTCCTGTTTCTTCTGCCTACTATGATAGTTTTTAACTGGATGCTGGATATTGTGAATTTTACATTGTTGAATGGGTATGTTGTTGTATTTCTATAAAGAATCTGCACTTTATTCAAGTAGGCAGTTACGTTACTTGGGATCAGTTTGATCTATTTGAAGTTTGCTATTAAATTTTTATTAGAGCAGGTCCAGAGCAGCCTTCTAGTCTAGGGCTAATTTCTGCTCACTACTGCTAAGAACTCTAACCCATACCTATATATTACAAAGTCTTTCTACTTTGGATGATGGGAACATGAACTATTTCCAGTTCTGAGTGAAGTCCAGGAATTCTTTGGCCCTATAAATCCAGAGACACATGATCTTCTGCCCTAGAAAATAAGCTTTTACTTGTTTAATAATTTTTTCCCCTTCATTTTCTTCATTCTCTGTTTTCTGGGACTTCTGTTTAACCAGATATTGAAATTTTTGGACTGACCCTTTAATTTTTTTTTATACTGCCTCTTCTATTTTCCATCTTTTAATCTTTGTGCTCTATTGTCTAAGCAAAGCAGACAGAGACTTAAAGATAAAATAAAGACAAGTTTTATCAGCAACTATGGCAAATGTGTAATATCTGAAGTATACATACTTAAAATTGTTTTTTAGGGAGAAGAATTAAGTTAATAACAATAACTGAAATGTACTGTTTTAATTTAAAGTAAATAAGAATTTTAGATCTCAGAATTTAGATGCAAGATCTGCTCAACTTTATTTTCCAAAGCAACAATTGGATTTTCTAAAATGTTGATCATCAGACTTTTAATTTCCAAGAGTTCTTTCCTATTCTATTATTGTTTCTTCATCACATCCTGAACTTGTTTTACAAATGCAATTCTTCTCTTATTTTCTAAGACATTCATTATAGTTTAAATTTTTTTCTTCTCCTTTCATCCTTTCATTAAGCAAATATTTATCAGTCAGGAACTGTGAACCAGACATTCTCTATTTTCTGAGGGTGCTGTTCATTTCATAGCAATGAATTGAGACAAAGATCCTGCTTTCATAGAGCTTACATTCTAGTGGTGGCAGACAGGCAACAATTTTTTTTTTTTTTAGAAGGAGTCTTGCTCTATCTTGCTGGAGTGCAGTGGTGCAATCTTGGCTCACTGCAGCCTCCACCCCCGTGAGTTCAAGCGATTATCCTGTCTCAGCCTCCCGAGTAACTGGGGCTATAGGTGTGTGCCACCACACCTGGCTAATTTTGTATTTTTAGTAGTGACGGGGTTTCACCATGTTGGCCAGGCTGGTCTCAAACTCCTGACCTCAGGTGAGCCACCCACCTCAGACTCCCAGCATGCTGGGATTATAGGCATGAGCCACCATGCCTGGCCAGGCAACAAAATATCAAAATATTAACAAGCATCCCCTCCCATTAAACCTTTCTTCCTCTTGCTCACTACACTCCCAACATAACATGCTTTCTTCAGTAGCTTCAAGTATTTTCTCCTCCTCCGCCTTCTATATGATGTTCTTTCTAACCAAAATGTACTTCCTCTGCTTCTTCACACACATAGCAACTTCTTATCCTTCTGAATACCACAGCCAAGTATATCTCAACTCCATGCCCAATTGCCACCATGAGTTTTCTATCTCAGTGCTGTTTTTAATCCCTTCATGACACTTAGCAAAATCTTTAATGTTGGTTATCTACTTAATAGCCATTATGCATCCTTTTTGCTAACTAAACCTGATTCTGTTTGGGTATCCATGACCCTCCCTATAACCATGTGCTTCAGAGAAATGGCCCTAACCCCAATCCAGAAGGGCATCTTGATTGGTCTAACCAAATCATGATAATTTCATACTCTTGCCAGTGATGGTTTAGGAAGGAATGTGTGACCCAATTCTGGTGTGGTATATAAGGGAAAGTCTGCTAGTAAGGCATCTGAGAAACGTTTCTTTGCTTTTATAAGGAGACTCAAAGAATAGACAGATCTCTTTTTGGCCTCTGGGACATTGCTGTGCCTGAGAATTTGATACCATTTGCTGCTGCAGCCACCTTTCAACCATGAGAGAGCTGGGCCACAGACAGCAGAAATAAATTAGCTAGCTTTTGGTGGTATCACTGAGCCACTTAATTAATCCTATCTTCATACTTTGTTAAGTTCCCATGAGCTCTTCTTGAGGAATCTACTAGATAATGAGCTCCAAAGGCCAGAGACACATTAACATAATGACTGATGCATTAAATAACACTTAATTGTGAAACAAAGAGTGAATGAGAAAAGGGAATAGAATAGAATGATTATATGTTTTAATGTAGTAAAATCATAAAATAAAGTGGAAGAAGAATTGGATTGGCATATACAAATATTTTGTTTCTGATTTTAAAAGTAGTTTGTTCCACAGTTTCCCATAAGCAGAATTGATGATGGCAGTATTTCTGAGACCGTTGTATTTGGTATGATAAAGCAAATGAGAATTTGAGTATATTTAATTCTATCATTGCCTTGTGCCTTTAAGAACCAAGATTCTCAGTGTAGAAAAGGATATGTATAAATGTAATATTAAAGAGATACATTTTCCCTAGTACTGTACACTAAAAAAAAAGTCCAGAAATAATGGCTAGCCTAATTGTACAGTGAACATAGCTAGACTCAAATTGTAATACTGAAATACTATTTCCCACTAAAAGAAACCAGAGTTTCTTCTAGATTTTGCTTACTCCTGGTATGGGACAGGAAAGATCTTGACCTACCAGGTGGCAAGGGAGCTATCAAATACTAGTGGGGTAATTTCTAAAAACTCAGGAGCCAACTTGAAGAGTTTTTCATTGGCCAATGATGGGAAAATGGAGCTTCAGTAAAATAAGAATTACAGTGAAATTCTTGAGTTCATAATAATTTTTATAGTCAATTGATCAGCTTCAAAGGATGACAAGAAACCAGTAAATTATCTTGAAAACTGATAAAAGGAAAGATAATGGTTTTTTCCTGCTTTTGAACTATTAATACTACGTAACCAAATGATAGATATGGCAAGTATTGCTCTATAAAATTATCCCAGCTAATAATAACAAAATGGCATATTAAAATATCACCATTTTTCAACCCCCAATAAATTAATGGGTCTCAGCAATGAACATCAACAAAACAGCTACTAATATCACAAAAAAAAGAGACAGCCAGCTATCATGTGCCTCCAGATGAAGAATACACACCACCACCGATAGTCTTAACAGAAGGATTGATTCTTTTTGTGGCTGCATAGTATTCCATGGTGTATATGTACCACATTTTCTTTACTGATGGGCATTTGAGTTCATTTCACATCTTTGCTATTTTGTATAGTGCTGCAATGAACATATGCATGCTGTCCTTTGCAGGAACATGGATGGAGCTAGAGGTCATGGTTCCTGCAAACTAATGCAGGAACAGAAAAACAAATGCCACTTGTTCTCACTGATGAGTGGGAGCTAAATGATAAGTACACATGGACATGTAGAAGGGAACAACAGACACTTGGCCCTATGAGGGGGGGAGGGTAGGGGGAGGGAGAGGATCGGTAAAAATAACTAATGATACTAGGCTTAATGCCCAGGTGATGAAATAATCTGTAAAACAAACCCCCATGGCACTACGTTTACCTGTGTAACAAACCTGCGCATGCTGCACCTCTTCCCCTGAAATTAACATAAAAGTTAAACAAAAGGGGGGATTGATTCTGAGACTGATCACATCTTACTATCTCTGTCAACTTGTAGAAAACACAGGAAAAATGTGTGGAACTGTACCATGAGTAAACTCCAGACTGTGGAAAACTCTACATATCAAACCGCTCAAGTCTTTCAACAGATAATCTGCAAGTAAAAGATGTAGGAGAAATGTATAGATTAAAAGAGACATTTTTTTTGGGCCGGGCATGGTGGCTCATGCCTGTAATCCCAGCACTTTAGGAGGCTGAGGAGGGTGGATCACCTGAGGTCAGGAGTTCAAGACCAGCCTGACCAACATGGTAAAACCCTGTTTCTACTAAATATACAAAAATTAGCCAGGTATGGTGGCGGGTGCCTGTAATCCCAGCTACCCAGGAGGCTGAGGCAGGAGAATTGCTTGAACCCAGGAGGCGGAGGTTGCAGTGAGCTGAGATTGCCCCATTGCACTCCAGCCTCGGTGACAAAGATTCCATCTCAACAAAAAGAGAGAGACATCTTTATGAGTGGGTAAGACTGTGTTTAAAAACACATAGTTGGGTGATGAAACCATAAGGAAATAGACGGAGACATTATTATAAAACCTAGGATTAGTGGGGTGGTAGTCTATCAGTAGGGGAGCCCCTACATAGCCATACTTCACAGTGTTCATGCCTGTGTGTGTTCTCTCTTGAATCTGGGCTGGCTCTGAGACTCACTTTAACCAACATAATGTGACAGAGTAATGCGGCGCCATTCCAGGCCCAAGCCACAAGAAGTCCTAGAAGCTTCTACATGCTTTTACACTCCAGCAGTGTAAGATCCTGACCCACCATTTAAACAGTTCAGTATCCTATTGGAGAGGTCATGTAGAAAACTCACCTGGAGAAAAAGAAAGCCTTCTCAGCTACGTCCAGTCACCAACTGATTCACCAGAGGCACACATCCATAGAAATGACCACCAGCAGAAACAAAAAGTAGAACCACCCAGGCTAGACCCATTTCAGCAGAACTGTGAGCAAACAAATACCTGTTTTAAGAACCAGGATCTCTGAGGTAGTTTAACAGGCATTAATAGATAACTGAAAATAGTGGTCATTTTTGAAGAAACAAAGAGGCCTAGAACTGGGACGGGGCACATGGAAGGCTCCTTTGATGGCTAGTGAAGTTCTTTCTATTTCTTGATCTAGGTGGTGGCTACTAAGCATTTGCCTTATGATTCACTAAGCTATGCATTTGTTCTGTGTGGCTGTCTAAGCCTATATTTCCTTTTAAAATGAAAATAGTTTTCAAATAGGAAAAAGAAAAAAAAATCCACATGGTTTGGCATAGAGACATTTACCCTACTTCCAAAATTTCTTGAGACTCTGGACCTTTCAAAAGTTACTTTGGGGCTCCTAGTAACCGCTGTTAATTTATTTTAATCCTATAGATGCATCCCATGCAACATCAAGCATAGAAATACAAACTTTTTTAGGTCCTAGACCTTGCAATTTGCAAAAGTTAATTAATTGCTTTCCTATCTCTAAAGCTTTTATTCTCTTCTCTAAGTGAGAAAAAAAAAAAATACAGTACCAAAGGCAGGGGGCACTTTTTAAAAGCTGGCATGCATTTTCATATTGGCAGCATCTTACTAGTCTGTTTTTAAAATGAATTTTCCAGTTTCAAAGGAGAAAATCTGTATTGCATTTGGGATTCTGTTTAATTCTCTCTCTTTCTCTCTCTCTCTCTCTCTCTCTCTCTCTGTGTGTGTGTGTGTGTGTGTGTACATATGTGTATTCGTTTTGAACTGCTGGTAAAGTGCCTTAAACAGAGTATAGCAGATGAATTGTGCTTTTATTCTTTTGCCTTCCTTTCCATTATGCTTTTATCTTCACTTCTGACTTCATTTCCCATTTCACAGTGCAAATTGTTATATGTACCTTATCTCTTAGAGTGATGTTACCCAGCTGTATAACAAAAAATTAACATTTCTGATTAGGAGATTAAAATTCCCTGCCATACTTCACACTGCATATTTTGTAAAACATTCATAGTACATTTATTTTAATGAAATTAGAAACTACCTTTACAAATTGGGCTCCTGCTATGGCACTTTCTACCTGTGAACCTAGTTCAGACCTTCCCAGAGATTACAACAGAGTAAAACTACAATCTGCTCAGTGGCTCACAGTAAAAGATAATAAAAATTACTATTGTCACCCTAGCAGTTACTATTACTAGAGCACCTTTGATGATGTGGCCCTCTTACAGCCAACATTCATAGTAAAAAGAAGTCTTTCATCAAGACCAAAGCTTGATTCACCGTCTAACTCTAAGGGGTTCGTCAAGGCTTGTATTAGAAGCCACAAGAGGGAAAGTCACTCTTTGTTCTACCAGTACAGGAGAAAATGTTAATCTGTCTTGGTCTACTGTATTTTCTGTCTTTGTGGTTGGCTCTAAGGAACTCACAACTCACAAAATCCTTTATGGCTTTGCAACATGAGATTTGGCTTCCTAAAGAGCTTCCCATTTCTAAAGTTTTTGTTTCAATTCACAAAGACCAAAGGAAATAGAAAGTAATTATTGATACTAGCAATTCCTAATTTGCAGTAGTTTTCCTTATTCGAAACTCCTTCTAGCTTCCTTGGTAGTCTAGTGTGCTTGAAGGCATTTTTTTCACTTAAAATATAAAATGATCAATATGCATTTGTGCATTATTCATAGTGGGCCCTCTCCCTCCTGTTTCCCCTATACCCACTACTCTGGAGGAGCTGCAGTTTCTCACTTCTTAGAAAAGCCTATTCATTTCTACAAATTAGGAGCTGAGACAAATACCAATGGTATAATGGTTACCCACTTCCTACTTTCTTTGGATTAATTTTTCTTAAAGGAGAACCAGTAAGGTAGCATTTAGTGTACTGGTTAGGATGCTTTTGGCCACAAGTAAAAAGAAGATAATTGTATTAGTTAGAATAAGGTTTGTCTGTGGATAACAATAAAACCACAATAACACTGGCTTAAGGAGATGGAAGTTTCTTTCTTTCTTATTAAGATCCAGAGGTAAATAGTCCATGGCTGGTGTGCAGGTTCTTCTATATGAAGCCATGGGAATTTCACCTCCTTTTGTCTAGTTACTCTGCCCTACATGTGCTCCTTCTTGAAAGGACACCTCACAGTCTATGATGGCTGCTCAGGCATGGTTACAATCCAGCCAGCAGTGTGGAGACTAGGACGAAGATGGACCTACCCTTCTCCCTTAATGTCACTTTCCAGAACAGCACTTCTATCTACATCCCACCGGCCAAAACTCAGTTATGTGACCCCATTTAGTTGCGAAGGAGTTTGGAAAATATCTTTATTATGGGAGTCCATGTGGACAGCTAAAATTTGGGGATTCTATCATTAAACATAACAAGGGAGAATGATATTGGGGATAACTAGCTATTTCAACTATCCCAATCCAAAGTAGAATTTAGTGGCTCTCATAATACAAAGTATGCAGGGTTAGTATACAGTGGCTATTAGCAAAGTTTGTCAGGGATCTAGCTTCTCTTCTCTGAGACACTTCAGCTTTGCAGTGCTCCAAGTACTGGCTTTGTCTTTAAGCTAGCTTCCCTCCTGCTCATCAAAATAAAAACAGCAGTTGCAGGCATAAGATCACAGATGCAACAAAGTCAAAAGAAGACGGAGAGGAAGTGCCCTTCAGTTTGCCTCCTTTTTAAAGGGGAGGAAAACTCACCTAGAAGCAGCTGGCAAGCTTCCCCTCAAGTATCACTGACCAGATGGCAACATAATCCCATGGATACTATAATCATCACTGGCAAGGAGATCACTGCCACCATGACAGGCACAGACCTTTCACGGGCCTTAAATGGGGCTAGCATCTCTGAAACAGAGGGCAACATTGGGAGTTTCTTTTTTTTAAGAGAGACGGGGTATTGCCATGTTGCCCAGACTGGTCTTGAACTTCTGGGCTCAGGCAGTCCTCTTGCCTCAGCTTCCCAAAGTGCTGGGATTACAGGCATGAACCACTACACCTGGCCAGCAGTTTTAATACCTGAAAAAAAACTGGAGTTCTTTCAGAAAAAGGAATGGGGGCCGGGCACGGAGGTACCTGCCTGTAATCCCAGCACTTTGGGAGGCCAAGGCAGGTGGTTCACTTGAGCTCAGGAGTTTGAGATTAGTCTGGGCAACATGGCAAAACCCCGTTTCTACAAAAAAAAAAAAATAGCTGGGTATGGTGACACGTGCCTGTACTCCCTCAGGAGGCTGAGGTGGGAGGATCGCTTGAGCCCAGGGAGGCCAAGGCTGCAGTGGGCCATGACTGTCCCACTGCACTCTAGTCTGGGTGACAGAGTAAGACCTTGTCTCAAAAAAAAAGGTGGGAGAGGAATGGGAAAAGGATTTTTGGTTGACATACAACAGCATCTACCATAATCCATTTCCTAACTTTTTCATCACGGTATATTGCCATTACTAGCCAACTTAGACTCTAAGATTACACTACCAAAAATATTCAGATAAAGCAGACCAGTTCTTATGCCCATCTCCCACCAACAAATTATGACCGAAGAAGCAAATGTGTGGACTAGAACGATGCATCTACACTAAGCAGACTGCAGATGTGTACAGCTCCCCCCATCCTCCACCTTGCCCATGGAGACTTCATTCTAGACACATCACTTTAAACTTTATATCTAGCCACCTAAGTTAACCCTGGTATAAATTAGGGTGAACTCCCCTGAGAAAAACGTGCTTTTTAAAGCTGAAACTCATTTCTTACTTTGTAAGCATCAGATCATTGATGAGCATTCGGAGGAAGCCACTGGGCCCTTTATATATTGTGTAACTGACTAGGCACTAATAAATCCAGTGAGGGAAACAGTTTTCCTAACTGGTATTTGCTGCTGGCAGACCTGCAAGTGCCCACAAGGATCTGTGTATCCCACAGCTCTCAGCTGTCCGGTACTTTTCTGGTCCTCCACAGGACTTCTTATAGGGGAGAGCTTTCAGGTTTGTTTTCTTGTTGATTCATGAAAAATTCAAGGGTAATTTTTAAAGGGAAATAAAATTATTGTTTAAACAGGAAAACACATTGTGGGGTTTTTTGGTTTTGTTTTGGGTATTTTTTTAAAGCCATAGTTTAATTTCGGACATACCAAAAGCTTTAAAGAAAAAGAGGCTGGGCAATGGTGACTCATGCCTATAATCCCAGCACTTTGGGAGGCCAAGATGGAAGGACTGCTTGGGGACAGGAGTTTGAGAACAGCCTGGGCAACATGGCAAAACCCCATCTCTACAAAAAATACAACAATTCGCTGGGTGTGGTGGCACATACCTGTAGTCCCAGCTACTCAGGAGGCTGAGGTGGGAGGATCACCTGAGCCAGGGGAGGTCAAGGCTGACAGTGAGCTGTGATTGCACCACTGCACTGCGCTTCAGCCTGGGCAACAGAGTGAGACCCTGCCTTGAAATACTAAAAAAAGAAAAGAAGAGAAAAGATGGCATAAAGAGAGAAGATCACCGAAATTGACCACTGTGGCCTGGAATCTGAGCTTTCTTCCTCATTTAAAAAAAAAGATTATTTTAGGTCAGTGCTAAAAGCATCACTTAAGACTAACATATGACAGGGCTCACGTGATCACAAGTTGGTCTCAGTATTATTTATTAATAGAAACATCTTATCAAGGGACATTAGGGAAAGGCCTCTAGAAACAATCCTAAAAATTTATTCTGTTGTAAGAAACATGAACATTGCAGTAATTTCCAAAACTAACATCTTTAGAAATGAAGTAACTCCTTAACATAGCTCATATATCTTTACCTGGAGAGTAACTAAATCCTAAGAAACTATGTATTTTCGAAACATCTATATGACACAGATGTTTTGAGGCACACAAGGAATGGCAGCTGTTAAATGATTTGTCTTAAAGTAAAGGCTGGCCGGAAGCAGTGGCTCACGCCTGTAATCCCAACACTTTGGGAGACCGAGGTGGGCAGATCACGAGGTGAGGAGTTCAAGACCAGACTGGCCAAAATGGTGAAACCTGTCTCTACTAAAAAGTACAAAAATTAGCTGAGCATGGTGGCTCATGCCTGTAATCCCACCTACTTGAGAGTCTGAGGTAGGAGAATTGCTTGAACTGGGACCTGGGAGGCGGAGGTTGCAGTGAGCCAAGATCACGCCACTGCACTCCAGCCTGGGCTACAGAGCGAGACTCGATCTCAAAATACAAAAAGTAAGGGCTGATTCAGTATCAGCGGCATACAGCTGCTTATAATGCATACAAAATAAAGTTAACAAAAGTCACTCAAAATATATTGACTAGCTACTCTCCTTGCTAGCAAAGTTTATCAAGCTTAAAAGAAAGTTATTGTCTCAGCTTCAGGAGCTTTCAAATCTGTATTTCACTGACAGCTACTTTATGAGAAGCAGGTCATAAAAGTACTTTTAAACTTTACTGTCATACTTTCAATCGTTTTGCTTACAATTGAATCAAAGCTTGAGAATATTTATAGGCTAAAAGATGGGCAAAGAGGTAAAGATAGGGCTATGATTTTATTCAGAAACTTCAAAATCATCAGGAAATCACAGCCCCATGACCCTCATTTGCTCACGCACTAACAATGTACAATACCACACATTTTTCCAAGGTTCTTTTCTCTTTTAGCAAGACTACCATTCTCACATGAAGCGATGAGTCTTTTTCTCTGGAGGTTTTGTTTTGTTTTTTTTTTCTGAGACGGAGTTTCACTTTTGTGCCCAGGCTGGAGTGAAATGGTGCCATCTCAGCTCACTGCAACCTCTGCCTCCCAGGTCCAAGCAATTCTCCTGCCTCAGCCACCCAAGTAGCTGGGATTACAGGCATGTGCCACCACACCCAACTAATTTTGTATTTTTTAATAGAGGCGGGATTTCTCCATGTTGGTCAGGCTGGTCTTGAACTCCCGACCTCAGGTGATCCATTTCTTGGCCTCCCACAGTGCTGGGATTACAGGCGTGAGCCACCACGCCTGGCGTTCTCTAGACGTATTCCAACATTAACTCTTCTCTTCCCTCTCCCACTACACATACCTTCAAAGTGCCCTCCTGAATACAGAATGAAGAGAAAACTGAACAAGGCTGGGGATGTAATGACTGTCACAACATGTGATATAGTTTCACTCATTCAAACACATGCATTACAAGTTCTTCACCTGCCCCAACTCCCACATGCTTTTGTATGTGTAATAATTTAATGGCTTTCAGAATAAAGAAGGTAATACATTTTCTCATTATCTGAGTACAGTGTTTGCATCAATAGCAACAACTGGCATGACCAGGAAGTCTTCCTTAAGCAAGTTAATCCTTCACATTGCTTAACTTCAAATGGTTAGTGTAGATGGCCATCCTTCTATGTTAGATGCTCCTAATCTTTCCAGTGAAATAAAGTCTTACATAAATACCTTAAACACAACTTTGCTAACATCCAAATGCAAGCCCTTTCTCACTGTGTTCTGCTGGAGTGCCCTTTCAGTCCCCACACACTGGTGAACACAAGCATGTAACCACATTTTTAAGACTAAGGCAGGCTTCATTTATTTCTTTTAGGCTTAGTTCAGCGCTTTTACTAATATAAATAAATCATCCATCTTTTCCCCTTTTAACAAACAAAAGCAAGTGATACTTGAGCAAGTGTTATCCCCTGACACTACGGGCTGTTGAGGATCTTTTACCTCCAAAAGCACCAGAGCAGGAATCTGGAAAATCAGCTCCGTTGCTCTTCAAGTGCCCTGATTTGATACCCTTTTAAAATGGTCTTAAATGTTGTGGTAACTAAAAATAAATATGCAACAAGAACACCAAATAAATGATGTCCTCTTAGGAAAGGATTCACGGGCCAAACAGACCTAGAGTTTAATACCTAGTTTAGAAGGTATTTCTGAAGCCAAGGGTGGGGGTTTGGAGCGGGGCAGGAAGGGCAGTAATTGGTAAGATAACCAAATGTTAGGTAGTGGTGGAAGGCAAGGTTGGGTGGGAGGTGGGAAGAGGGGAGGCCAAATACGCCCAGGAGATCGAGTCAGGACTTCCTGCAGTTCAGTTTGGTTTGGGTCTTGGTTTTTTCTGCCTCGCGCTCTCTACTGAGTCCGCACACCTCTGAAGGTCTCCCTAAATGAGTTTCTCCCCATCTACAACTTTCGCGACCGTTATGAAGCACACCAGTGTTCCTCTTTCGCTTCGCCCCTCTCCGGCGAGGGAAGGGAAAGGCAGGGGCTGGAAACGTCAAGACAGGATCCTTTCTGCCGCTGATGAAATCATCCTGCAAGTGTTATGGTGAAGTGCGAGCGAAGCCCGCGCTTTCCAAAGCCAGGCTAACATTACTAAGAGGGAAATTCTGCCTTAGCGGCCGGGAATCCCCAGGGGAATCTCTAGAAACCAGGGATATCCCCTCTGGTCTCTGGGCGGCCAGTTCAGAAACCGCTCAGAACTCAGTCCAGGGCAGGCACGGGAGGGCGAGGTGCGCCGGGCGGGGGCGGCCCTGACCCCAGGGCGGCGGGATCGGCGGCGGAGGCGCCGGCGTCCCCACCCACATCCTGCACCTGCCTGGCTCCCAACATCTCCCCGTCCCCGGTCCACACTGTCGCGGGTGGGCTGCGGTCGGGGGTCCCCGCGCGCTGCAGGGAGAGGCCCGGGCGCGCCCCTCGGGGCCCCGGCTGCGGCGGCCAGCCTGGCGCACGGGTCAGGGGGCACCCCAGGTCCCTGCGGGGCAGGCGGGCGTACCTCGGATGTAGGCGCACTTGCCCTCGTCCAGCTGGCTGGAGGCCGAGCCGCCCATGGCCGCGAACCGCCTGTGCCGAGCGCGGTAACTGCCCAGCCGGCGCCGGGAGGACTGGCCGCTCTGGTCCGCGCCCGCTGCTCGCTCCTGGAGGATGATCAGACTGCGAACCCGGCTCTGAAATTAAGGGCAAACTTCCTCTGAGAGGTGAGAGGCAAGAGGCGTCGCCTTCTGGGGCGCCTCCTCCAGGTCCGCGGCGCCCTCTGAGGATCCGTGGGCCGGCCCTGGGGCTGTCTTCCCGCCCTCGCCGCGCTGGAGAGCCCCGACCGCCTGCCCCACCGAGGAGGACGCCAGCTCCTCCCCCTCGCCCACTGTCACTTCTTGTTTTCCTCCGTTTGGGGCATCCAAGAAACACCCTGGAGGAAGTGGAC